CTGGGTACACCCCTTAAGTTGCAGTTGCATGGAGTTCTCAGGCCACTGTATGAAACAGTTTTTCCCGCACACCAAATGTGCCGCATCACATGTTCATCAGTCACAGGGTTTCTCAAGTTCACATGGTGCCGTGCGTCTTTGTCAGATATACCACACAAAACGATGTCTTAAGATATTGTTAATTAGATTAGATTTAATTGATTATTAATGATGCAACACAGTGAAATGCAAATTGCATGAAATTAGATTTAAATCACTCACGAAAAACGACTTATATACCATTTATTACTTAGTGATCTACAAGAGTAGTTTGCTCTTCAGCCTAAATTAACGTGTCCTTACAAAAATAATATAAATGTAAGGATTTTACATCCATTTTTTGTAAGAAGACATCCTTTAAACCACTCATACACAAAACAGCAACAAAGAGCAGAAGGTCCTGAATGTGCACATCTTACCACAAGGGAGCTACAAACAGATTTTTATCTCAAGAGCTACTTCTAAATCTACATTACACCTCAACATTAATTCTAAGAAATTGTCTCATCTTACTCTTACTACATAATTCAAATGACACATATCCAGCTCTACAGCTTCACACTGGAGTTAAACACAGTCATCCCCGGTATTGTTCCTCTGTCTTCTTGATCTCTTGGGCAGGTTAACACTTAAAGCAGCATAATGCAGGTCTGTGTCTTGTAATCCTGGTGACAAAGCATGTAAAAATGTGATCTCAGTATGTTCTGACAATAATGTAAAAGATCTACACATCAGATAATTAGTGTTGAGATGGCTATTCAATAGACAATATAAAGTCTCTTCACCTCTGCATTTGCATGGAAGAGCACAGAAATCTTGCTTGGAGTTTGGTTGCGAAACACAGGAAAAGGTTCTTTTCATTAAAAAATCCAGACTTAGTGAATGAAAGTTGGTCTTATATAAAATTCCAAGTTACCGGGAGTTTGGCAGATGTTTCTCTTGTTAATCCTGTACAGTGAGAAAAGTCCAGTAAAAAACACTGGACGGTGTAGTAACAAGATCACAATGGCAAAATCACACAGATGTATATTTGTGTGTGTGTGTGTGTGTGTGTGTGTGTGTGTGTGTGTGTGTGTGTGTGTGTGTGTGTGTGTGTGCGCCCTGTAGGGACACAGACAAAGACAAGATGGCCGATTCAAAATGGTTGCTGGGACCACATGGCTTAAATAAAGGGAACTACAACCAAGATGGCGGTAAAACAAAAAGGAACTACACAAGATGGCGGACACAAAGATGGCCACTGGGACCACCCTTAAGTTGCATTGCATGGAGTTCTCAGGGCCACTGTATGAAACAGTTTTTCCCGCACACCAAATGTGCCGCATCACATGTTCATCAGTCACAGGGTTTCTCAAGTTCACATGGTGCCGTGCGTCTTTGTCAGATATACCACACAAACGATGTCTTAAGATATTGTTAATTAGATTAGATTTAATTGATTATTAATGATGCAACACAGTGAAATGCAAATTGCATGAAATTAGATTTAAATCACTCACGATAAACGACTTATACCATTTATTACTGTAGTGATCTACAAGAGTAGTTTGCTCTTCAGCCTAAATTAACGTGTCCTTACAAAAATAATATAATGTAAGGATTTTACATCCATTTTTTTGTAAGAAGACATCCTTTAAACCACTCATACAAAAACAGCAACAAGAGCAGAAGGTCCTGAATGTGCACATCTTACCACAAGGGAGCTACAAACAGATTTTTATCTCAAGAGCTACTTCTAAATCTACATTACACCTCAACATAAATTCTAAGAAATTGTCATCTTACTCTTACTACATAATTCAAATGACACATATCCAGCTCTACAGCTTCACACTGGAGTAAACACAGTCATCCCCGGTATTGTTCCTCTGTCTTCTTGATCTCTTGGGCAGGTTAACACTTAAAGCAGCATAATGCAGGTCTGTGTCTTGGTAATCCTGGTGACAAAGCATGTAAAAATGTTGATCTCAGTATGGTTCTTGACAATAATGTAAAAGATCTACACATCAGATAATTTAGTGTTTGAATGGCTATTCAATAGACAATATAAAGTCTCTTCACCTCTGCATTTGTCATGGAAGGAGCAGAAAATCTTGCTTGGAGCTCTGGTTGCGAAACACAGGAAAAGGTTCTTTTTCATTAAAAATCCAGACTTAGTGAATGAAAGTTGCTGGTTATATAAAATTCCAGTTACCGGGAGTTTGGCAGATGTTTCTCTTGTTAATCTTGTACAGTGAGAAAGCCAGTAAAACACTGAGGACGGTGGTGAATGTCAGTGCTCCACTCAAGAAATACACAAGAAAGTTCACCTCATCTGAAAATCCCACACAGAAAGAGGATCAGTATATTTACAGTTTTAGTCTAGTCAAGTCAATTTTATATATTTGCCTGATATATCCAGCAAACACCCTCTATTCTTAGATCCTCACCATCTACTATCTGCTTTTCTTGAAAGTGACTCACCCTCAAAGTCCAGCTTGGTCCCGTCTCCAAACAGTATGTGTCCACATGAGGCAACAGCACAGTAGTAGGTCCCAGCATGAGAAAGATTCAGGCTCTGCATCGGCAAGTTGTAGACACAGGTTTGTGTTTGTGTCTCAGGTTTCCTCTCACACTGATCATTCCTGTCTCCATGAGTGTAAATGAGTCCTGGATGAGATTCTTCAGAGTCTTTGAACCAGTAAACACTGTGTTCTCCATCACAGGTCCCAGTGTGCACTGTACAGTTGAGAGTCACAGAGCCTCCTGGCTGGATGGTCTCAGATCCGGACTGATGGACCGAAGCCTGGATGTTCAAACCTGAGCCCCCTACACTGAGAATAATGCTCTCCAAGAATTTTAATGAGTATAAATAAGTAACACAGCAGTAAGTGGCTGAGTCTGATGTGCGTAAATCTGTGATTGTCAAGTGATTTTTACCATTTTCTGTGTCTAATGTGAAGCGCGAATCGCTCTTGAATTCATTATGAAACGTGCTATTGACACCATGTTTATAGAAGCTAGAGATAAGCCTTGGCTTCTGTCCCAGAACTTGCTTGTACCAGTAAAGCCTCGCAGAAACACCTTCATAGAAACACCACAAATTCACCTTGTTGCCGACATGAGCTGATACAAAACTTTTCTCTTGGGGAACAGGTGCGGGTGATTTCAGATCAGCCATCTGAGCTGAAGTGACATGAAAGACAAAGCAGATGCACACTTAGTTTATTGCGAAAGAATCTGTATGATGAACAACCATACACTAAAAGGTGCAAGATGGAGTCCCAAAAATGCAACTTACCCGTTTTCCCCAAGAACAGACACGTGAGATAGAAGGCAAACACTGGAGAAGTCATCATGTCCAAATTGCCGAGGTGAATGAAGAGATAGTTATGGTTTCTTCAGTCTTTACAGACAAGAATGCATGTGATTGGCCAGCTTGTGCATGTGCCCTTAATAGGAAACATGATGACATGCTCAGTCACCCATAGTGTGACTGTGAGCATGTCAACATGTTTCCTGAGGTGCTCCTAAGAATAAATAACCACTAAATCCAATGCAATACAAACACCAGTAACAAGAGCAGTAGAGTCCTTTTAATGTTCAACTTTTGAAAATAGACTTAATATTAAATAAAGATTTGAGCAGTTCATTCTTACTTGACAAATACTGATGCACAGTGGATCACAGAGGGGATCAATGCAGCAGACACAGACTCTCTTTTCAAGCTTTAGAGTTTCTGACCCGATTTGTTGCTTTTTTTTCTCATGTATTTTGTTAAACTTTTGATGACCACAATCAAAATTCCAATAACCGTCAGTGGGTTTATTTTTATTTAAAGTTTTATATCCACAAGATGATATAATTGTGGTTTTAAGAACCAAAAAACATAAAAGAATATATTTTTATATCTCCTCTCTCACACTTTTCACTGGAGCTCTAGCAAGAAAAGATCATTTTCAGTATTGTAACTTGCTGGCTCAGTGATGGAATGACTGCTTGGTGTTGCGTAGTAAAGTTAAACCTAAAAACTCTATAGTTGTGACATCACAAAGTTACAGAAGTCCTGGTGGCTCATTGTAAGGCAGTTTCTGAATATGGGTTGTGTGCATTTCTGCATGGATTGAGCATTTTGGGACCTTTAAAGTACTTTTACCCAGTGGTCTGCATCTGTTTTAACACTCTAAATTAAATATGCGTCTATTGTCTGATGCCTATTTTTATTTAATAGAAGCAGTTACTTTTATTCATTATTTTCAGTTACATTATTCCTACTACAAACGTAGTCTCTCTTGTTATTAATATTCACAGTCTTGTTGAATACGAGCGGATAAAGACTCTATACGGTTTTTGGCTGTTTACTTCATGTGGTCTTTGGACTCAGGGGCATCTATGTAAGACTTCAGACAGCAAACACCTATACATCCTGCTGACAACCACAAAGACCGCTGCACGGAGAACAACACCTAGTAACAAAAAGTATGGCGGTAAAAAGTGGTCTGAGAGTAATGACTCTTCTGTTCACCTTTATGCCAGTGTCATGAAATATAAAATGTCCCTTTTCTACCACTTTCAGGGGGCAGGATTAATTGTTAGCTGTTAGCAGGCCACTCATCACCCAAAGTAAAAAATGAAACTGTTGGCTACAACAGGACAACAACTGGGTGTAAATACAGGAGTTTATTAACTAAACTACTATCTACAGAGTAAATGCAATGTATAATCATAAAGATGAAAATAATAATGAAATGAGCAGTGTGATGAGTTGGCAATGGTGGGAGAGAATATGTTATGGCTATACAGCTAATGATACCACGTCTATGAATGAGATTAGGTAATTAAATATTTCTATTTTTCGACATCTATCCAGTCATGAGCAGAGTGTTAAGACCGGCCTACTGTGAGTTGCACTGTAGCTGAGGACCCTCGGCTGGAACCCAGGTGGCTATGGTTGCCGTGGTAACCCTGGAGACGCGGGATCTAGGTGGATTCTCCTGGAGGCCTTGTCCAGTTATCACGGTGACGGATTCTGCCGGTGTCTCAGCGATTCAGCTCTGGTGGAGTTTGCCAGGAGACTTTCTGTCACGGGAAGTCTTGATTTCTGGTCGGCTTCTCTGCAGGTGGTCGTGGTCATACATAAGAAACATTCAAATATCAATTGACAGAGTCTTATTGTTACAAACTGGAGATTTTGCCTATGTTCTCCAGTTGCCTGTTGTCCATTTGTTGATGTTCTGGAGTTGACCCTTTGACCCTTGGTTTCTATCCCTCTGATATGCTAAGAGCATGGTGTGTTTGTGGAAGAGGGGTCCTTTGTCTCTGTTTCCTATCAATTTGATAGTTTGATGGTGGGAAGAGTAACAAAGTGGCAGTTTTGGGTCCATAACTCTGCATGTCCTTACAATGAACTTCTTTAACGGCTTGTGACTGATGCCAGGCCACGTATGTACGCTACATCCTTTATGTCACATCACTGTCTTAAACACCTTAATCTAGCAGCATGTCTGGTCAGTCTGAGAAACTATAACGTAGCTTAGCAGCTAACTGAGAGCTATCCACAGGACCAGTGTTCGTGATACCTCAAATCAGTTTTACTTTTCAGATGTGGTTTAAACATCATTCACCATGAGATACAATGATGCTGTTAAATGAGTTGTACTTTTAAGTATCACAATCGTGTAGCCATTATCACTAAATGATACAATACATACAATGATACATGATACAAAATATTCAAAATATTTGCCAAGTACAGTGAAGCCCTGGTACCTGTGTGATATGTTGTGACTGCGACTGTTCATCTAGGATAATAATCAAGTTCGAGTAGAGGTCAGACGTGAAATGTCAGGTATCACTATATATGAATCATCAAGTCATCAACACTCCAAATGGTAAGATAGACGAGCCTCATTTCGCCCACACAACAACGCTGTAAATTAGCAGAACCGCATATTTTTCAGTCGACAGAAAAACCCTCCTGTGCCACTTTATTTCGGCACCATAACAATTGCGCCTCACTTACTGGAGTGGGGTGAGGTCCTACCACATTCTCTGACAAACAAAACGTAAAGCCACTAGCCAGTCACATATTAAGAAGAAGTCTGAGCTACAGCTGGCTGAACACATCGAACATGTCTACACAAAAGTATTTTAATGATGTTTATTTGATCATTAATGAAATAAAATCCACATAAAAAACCATACTTTACATGATGTGGTTGAACATCAATGAGGACAAACAGAAAAAGCCCAAGACAGTTGCAATCCTCAAAGCAACAAATTACCTCTATAGTATCAGGTAATCTGATTATATTTACTCACAAAAACCATTCATTCATATGTACCAACAATGCTCTTATAATATTAGATACATTTCATTTGCAAGAAACAAAGCAACGTTGTGCGAATGTGAGATATCCTGCTTCAGACCACAAAAAAAACAAAAACAATGTTAAACATGCATTATGGGTATTACGGTATTCACTTGTCCAGTTCTACTTCTTTATGCTGTGGTACACACATTCAGTCCAGGTTTGATCCCTCTGTCTTCTTGATCTGTTGGTCAGATTAATGCTTAAAGCAGCGTAATAGAGGTTTACTGCGTGTTGGTAACCCTGGTAACAAAAGAGATATCAGTAACGATTAAAAGAGTGGGCAACAAAGTATCTATGCTTGCGCAATTAAAAAGATGTCTGAAAGGCAATTCAACAATTAATTTAAACAGCTGTTACTCACCTCTGCATTTGCTGTGGAAGGAGCGGTAAATGTTGGTTGAGACTCTGGTTGTGAAACACAGAAGAGGTCATTTTATTCAAAAGCCATGTTCAGTCCATACAAGTTGTTGGATATATATTAAAAAAGGTGCCGGTTACCTGAAGATCGACAGCTGTTTCTCTTGGCCATCATGCACAATGAGAAAGCCAGGAAAACACTCAGGACGGTGGTGAACACCCAAGCTCCATGCGGGAAATACATCAAGTCAACCTTATCTGCAGAAACAAAGCTTTCAATCAGTTTTCTGTTTTCACGAATTTGACTGGGGAGTAACAATGACTTCTTTTAAAATCAGTGGTTATAAAGTGACTTACCCTCAAAGTCCAGCTTGGTCCCGTCTCCAAACAGTATGTGTCCACATGAGGCAACAGCACAGTAGTAGGTCCCAGCATGAGAAAGATTCAGGCTCTGCATCGGCAAGTTGTAGATGTAGGTTTGTGTTTGTGTCTCAGGTTTCCTCTCACACTGATCATCCCTGTCTCCATGAGTGTAAATGAGTCCTGGATGAGATTCTTCAGAGTCTTTGAACCAGTAAACACTGTGTTCTCCATCACAGGTCCCAGTGTGTACTGTACAGCTGAGAGTCACAGAGCCTCCTGGCTGGATGGTCTCAGATCCGGACTGATGGACCGAAGCCTGGATGTTCAAACCTGAACCCCCTACACTGAGAATAATGCTATCCAAGAATTCTAATGTGTATAAATAAGTAACACAGCAGTAAGTGGCTGAGTCTGATGTGCGTAAATCTGTGATTGTCAAGTGATTTTTACCATTTTCTGTGTCTAGTGTGAAGCGCGAATCGCTCTTGAATTCATTATGAAACGTGCTATTGACATCATGTTTATAGAAGCTAGAGATGAGCCTTGGCTTCTGTCCCAGACTTTGCTTGTACCAGTAAAGCCTCTTAGTCAAACTTCCATAGAAACACCGCAAATTCACCTTGTCGCCGACATGAGCTGATACAAAACTTTTCTCTTGGGGAATAGGTGCCGGCGATTTCAGATCAGCCATCTGAGCTGAAGTGACATGAAAGACAAAGCCAACGCACACTTAGTTTATTGCGAAAGAATCTGTATGATGAACAACCATACACTAAAAGGTGCAAGATGGAGTCCCAAAAATGCAACTTACCCGTTTTCCCCAAGAACAGACACGTGAGATAGAAGGCAAACACTGGAGAAGTCATCATGTCCAAATTGCCGAGGTGAATGAAGAGATAGTTATGGTTTCTTCAGTCTTTACAGACAAGAATGCATGTGATTGGCCAGCTTGTGCATGTGCCCTTAATAGGAAACATGATGACATGCTCAGTCACCCATAGTGTGACTGTGAGCATGTCAACATGTTTCCTGAGGTGCTCCTAAGAATAAATAACCACTAAATCCAATGCAATACAAACACCAGTAACAAGAGCAGTAGAGTCCTTTTAATGTTCAACTTTTGAAAATAGACTTAATATTAAATAAAGATTTGAGCAGTTCATTCTTACTTGACAAATACTGATGCACAGTGGATCACAGAGGGGATCAATGCAGCAGACACAGACTCTCTTTTCAAGCTGTAGAGTTTCTGACCCGATTTGTTGCTTTTTTTTCTCATGTATTTTGTTAAACTTTTGATGACCACAATCAAATTTCCAATAACCATCAATGGGTTTATTACAAATTTTAAATGGAAATAATACTTTCAGAATAAAGGTATAAATTTATGCTTAATAAGATTTTCAATGGCATGTTTATTTCCACTATTAAAGGTCCCACATATTTTATACTTTTCTAGTGTTTTATTTGAAGTTTTATATCCACAAGATGATATAATTGTGGTTTTAAGAACCAAAAAACATAAAAGAATATATTATTACATCTCCTCTCTCACACTTTTCTCTGGAGCTCTAGCAAGAAAAGATCATTTTCAGTTTTGTAACTTGCTGGCTCAGTGATGGAATGACCTAAAAACTCTATAGTTGTGACATCACAAAGTTACAGAAGTCCTGGTGACTCATTGTAAGGCAGTTTCTGAATATGGGTTTTGTGCATTTCTGCATGGATTGAGCATTTTGGGACCTTTAAAGTACTTTTACCCAGTGGTCTGCATCTGTTTTAACACTCTAAATTAAATATGCATCTATTGTCTGATGCCTATTTTTATTTAATAGAAGCAGTTACTTTTATTCATTATTTTCAGTTACATTATTCCTACTACAAACGTAGTCTCTCTTGTTATTAATATTCACAGTCTTGTTGAATACGAGCGGATAAAGACTCTATACGGTTTTTGGCTGTTTACTTCATGTGGTCTTTGGACTCAGGGGCATCTATGTAAGACTTCAGACAGCAAACACCTATACATCCTGCTGACAACCACAAAGACCGCTGCACGGAGAACAACACCTAGTAACAAAAAGTATGGCGGTAAAAAGTGGTCTGAGAGTAATGACTCTTCTGTTCACCTTTATGCCAGTGTCATGAAATATAAAATGTCCCTTTTCTACAACTTTCAGGGGGCAGGATTAATTGTTAGCTGTTAGCAGGCCACTCATCACCCAAAGTAAAAAATGAAACTCTCTTGGCCATCATGCACAATGAGAAAGCCAGGAAAACACTCAGGACGGTGGTAAACACCCAAGCTCCATGCGGGAAATACATCAAGTCAACCTTATCTGCAGAAACAAAGCTTTCAATCAGTTTTCTGTTTTCATGAATTTGACTGGGGAGTAACAATGACTTCTTTTAAAATGCAACGACAGCGGTTATAAAGTGACTTACCCTCAAACGCCAGCTTGGTCCCGTCTCCAAACAGTAACAAAAGAAAACATCCTAAATAACAGTTTAGTTTAGGCCATTTACCTCAAACAGTGCAGTATCTGGCAACACAGATCTGGCTCCAGAGTCAGAGCCACAGGGCATTCAGGGCAACTGCTGTATAATATAAACCAAAATAATACATTATAAACGATATACATACTAATCGCTAAACTACAAGATAACTTTTACCTCAGTGGGGGTATGAACTTCCAATGCCTTCTCTGTGTTGAGCTCCTACACAACAGCCACCTATAAAATGTGTTACAAACGTCCCCATGACCTAATGCTGTGTGTTACCCAGGATTCTGATAAGCCACAAATCACCTTTGAAACAGTTCATTCAGCCTGCAAGGCCTGGGCAACAGGTTGTTTAAAGTGCCTGTAGTAAAAAGGTCAAACTGATCAGTAAAAGTCTTTAAGAAATGTTTGTCAAAGATAAAACAAACTGCCTTAAAGCATAACTTCTGGGAGACAACCCTGTTCCCTAGCCACATGGCCCAAAATGCATCAAGACGGAGGTCTGAGGTAATGAGACAATAGTCACCTGGTGTGTGTGTATACCTGTGAAAGAGGCAGAGGGTGGGGCCTACATGGAGGGGGAAGAGAGATGGTGGCTTCACTAGGCCGAAAACCGACCTATCACATATGAAATCATCTATTACATGCTTAATTGATTAAGAAGTTATGACAAAGAACTTTTCCCCCAGTGCCGTCAGCTCACCGGCCATCTCAGACTCGGACATTTATGGTTTGAAATACTGACAGTAGTTCACAGACTGCACTTCTGTGTCACAACTGTTCAGTTTCCACACTCTCATCCTCTCACCGTGGTGGGCGAGGTCACGTATGTGTTTCTGGTCGCCACTGACCCCCCCAGCCACTCAAGAATGACAAAGCCAGAGTTACTGTGACTATAGGGACTGGACACAAGGACACACAAGGTGAAAATTAACATCATGTTTATTAGATCTTTAAAGACATAAAATGCACATACAGAGATTAGTTAAAAACCACTGAGGGGGAAACGAGGAAGTTCTTGACATACTTGAACCTCTAAGCCCAGGTGTCACTTCTGCACCATCGATGAATCTGAGCTTTTAAATGTTCGTTTTTTGTCAGAAAGAGAATTTATTCACATGTACAAAAACTTACCTAAAGATTATTTTTCTTGGTAAGAAAACAAAATAAGAATCAGGAGGCATTCAAAATAAAAGCACTTCTTGTCAACACTGTACATAAAGACAATCTCAACATCTACATCTAAATCTAGTTTAAACCTACATTAACCTTCGAATTAAAAGTAAATAATCCAGCCTTACTTAAAGAAGTAATTTCTTCTGCCTAACACAGGAATACACACTGTCAATCTTGGTGTCGTCCCTCTGTCTGCTTGATCTGTCGGGCAGGTTATCACTGATAGCAGCATAATGGAGGTTGTCTTCATCTCGGAAACCCTGGTACCAAAACATGTAAAAGTCAATCACAACATGGAACCAGGCAACAAATAAATAAATCTATAATAATTTGGGTAATTTAAATTTAGATAAATCTTACATCAATGTTTGCTGTGGAGGGAGCTATGAATCTTGCTTCTGATAGTGAAACACAGAAAAGATACTTTTATTCAAAAGGCATGTTCAGTGGACACAAGCAGATACAAAGAGTAAACGTTACGGTACCAGGAGATTGGTAGCTGTTGCTTTTGTTCGTCTTGTACTGTAAGAAAGCCAGGAAAGCAACCAGGAAGGTAGTGACTGTCAGAGCTCCACTCAGGAAACACACCAAGAGAGGGGAGTCCCCCTCATCTGAAAATTCATTAAAAAGAGAATCAGTGCCTTTTCTGTTTTCATCCCTAGTTTGATTTGAAAGTATCACCAAGTTGACTCAAGTCAGTAAAGCCCAAAATCACAAATATACCTCAAAGGGGTTTGCAATACTCTACTTTTAGATCCTCAATTTGAATAAGTACCAGAATGCTACCATCTACCATCTACTACTCAAATTAGATCTTTTCTGTAAAGTGACTTACCCTCAAAGTCCAGCTTGGTCCCATCTCCAAACAGTATGTGTCCACATGAGGCAACAGCACAGTAGTAGGTCCCAGCATGAGAACGGTTCAGCCTCTGCATCGGCAAGTTGTAGACACAGGTTTGTGTTTGTGTCTCAGGTTTCCTCTCACACTGATCATTCCTGTCTCCATGAGTGTAAATGAGTCCTGGATGAGATTCTTCAGAGTCTTTGAACCAGTAAACACTGTGTTCTCCATCACAGGTCCCAGTGTGAACTGTACAGCTGAGAGTCATGGAGCCTCCTGGCTGGATGGTCTCAGATCCGGACTGATGGATGTTCAGTCCTGAACCCTGTACACTGACAATAATGCTCTCCAAAAATGTAAATGTGACTGAATAACCTTTTGTACAGTAGTAAGTAGCTGAGTCTGACGTGCGTAAATTAGAAATTGTCAAGTGATTGGTGCCATTTTTAGTATCCAGCGTAAAGCGTTGATTGTCCTTGAATTCTTCATAAAAAATGCCATTTTTATCATGTACAGAGAAGTCAGAGATGAGCCTTGGCTTCTGTCCCAGAGTTTGCTTAAACCAATAAAGCCGTGCTGAAACATCGTCCTCATTAAAACAGCATAAAGTCAAATTGTCTCCAGCTTTAACTGATAAAAAAACACTGTCCTGACACACAGATGAGGAGAATTTCAGAGCAGCTGAAGTGAAATGAGAGACAAAGTAGACACAGATTTAATTTAACATGACAAAATTTATGTAATCAGTAAATAAAAATCTAAGAAACTTTTGTATGAGGATTGACCATACACTAAATGATATCAGCTGGAACCATAAAATCCCAACTCACCTGTTTTCCACAAGAGCAAACATATAAGACAGAAGACAAACTTTAGAGATGTCATCCTGTTCAAGTTTCTCTGCTGAGTGAAGGAACGCTGACAGGTACTTTTCTCTTCTCTGACATGGCATCGTTTGATTGGCTAACCTGAAGAGACACTGTATGTCCTTCATAGGAAACATTACATGCTCACAACCACCTATCGGAACATTTACGTGGTGAGCTATGTATGAGCTGTAGCCTATGCCTCGCACAATGCTCAACATTTGGAGACCACAAATACATTATTTTGAGCAGATCATCCAGAGTGGATAACATATACAATGCAATAATATGGCCTAGATAACCAGCTATATTTTGTATACTGTATACAGACACAATTTTACAGTTCAGGCTTTTGATTTTTAAATTGTTTGCTCTTCAGCTAACGAATGATAAATTATAACTTCTTTATTAGGATGTGAAAACAGATTTGAATGTAGTTTTTAAAAGGCTCCTTTACTGCACTTTAATCGGATGTTTCAAGTCACCCTATGAAAACTACCATCTAAATTCTCCCGTGGTACTATTTTACTATTCTGACAAGTACTCATAAAGTGAAGATGAAGCACTGAATAATATGATGTGTTGTTTGTAGGTTTTTTACCCATACACCGTAAATAAAGATGGACATATCCTCCGTGATGTTATCTATAGGTTTCCTACGAGCAGTTTTGAATCTCAGAGTGGGCTGCTCCATCATCGCCATCTTGGCAGTGCCTGACTCCTAATCTAAAATGGGCAAAGAGGAGTAGCACACACTCACCCAGCTGTATCTCAAAGTGGCACGCCCTAAATTATGCATAACTTTAAGCCTTAATAAAATTTTAACAGGTGAGTTATATAAAAATTCACCCCCGTACAGTTGTCATGAAGGAGGAGATTAGCTGTAGGGACTAAAACTGTTTTCGGTACCAGGCTGTAAACATGTTAATTTCTGCTGTAAAGTTGGACATTTTAACACGGCAGTCTATGGGGTATGACTCTTTTGGAGCCAGTCCCAAGTGGTCATTTGAAGAACTGCAATTTTTTGTGTTGGTTTCAGTTTTCAGACTCAGAGGTTACCACCTTGTTTTTAAGGTTCTGCAGTCAAACCTGAAATGTTTTTTTTAGTTTTGAGTGATTGTACTTCATTTGCTTGAATAAAAAAAATATACCTGCTGTTTAGTGTGAAAATCAACACTTTCTTTTTCATTCTTTGTTTCAGGTGTCACTGTGAATACCAACAAGCAAGCTGTGAAAAGAATTTTGGTTTGATCATATAGACCTGGAGCTTATAGTGTTGTTCACAATTACATAATAAAAGTAAAGGCATAAATGTGGTGGTAAATGCATAAATGAAGGTCAGATCTGTCCCATGAACACTTGAGACGGATGTTTTCTCTCTAGTTATACCTGAAAGAAAATGTCATCTATAGGCCAACTCCAAAGAGTATCTGTAAACATCTGGCAGAACTCACTGTAACCCAAACAGTAACATAGTGAACTTTATGTGCCTCATATTTCCTAAAAGAGTGCTGGGCCTTTACTGTCTCAGGTCATTAGTCAGGTCAGCACATTGGACATGTGTAGGACATGTGTAGGAATTATGTCAACAACAAAACAAATCTTCCGGTGTCATTTTAATCTGATACCAGAACAACTGAGCTTTGCCACTCACTTGCTGATTGAGGTGGGTGAGGTCAACCACATGCTCTTCTGATACACGTGGTGCCAACAGCCGCTGAAGACTGAATGAGATACCAGATATGAAACCACATGAACACATCACCGTGATCATGATCAACATGTTCCACAATTAGAAGAGCTTTATTAGATCAGTCATGGAATAAAATGGCATACAAAAGCAAATACATGATTTGGTTTGGTTGATCTAGACATATATGAACCTCCTCAATTCCATGTCTCCAGATAACAGTGTTACAATCAATAAAAGTCTTGCTTTCTACAATATTTGAGAATGAAAATTATGGTATGGTTAATATTAGGGAAACATCATTGTGTGGTTAAAGTATGGATAGGGTGGGTTAACTAAGTGACTTGGTAAAGATTAGGGAAAGTGTGTTTTTATGGTTTTAAAAAAGTCCAATGTTTAACTATAAGTCTGTCATAATGTCATTTCTGGTCACCTGCACAAACGTATGATGTACTGCACAGCCACAGAACACCCCAATGTCCACTTCCTACTTTCTTCTTCCTACTCTTTTTCATAAAAGGGAAAACTTCTTGATGTTGCTATAAACCATGAGGTGCAGAATCCTTAGGCATGAACATAATTCCTAGGAATATTTAACAGCATCTTATGACTGCAGACCACAAGAAAGTTACACAAATATATCTCAAAATCTACACCTACATTGACATACAACAAAATACAATTTTATTCAAAAAGTATAAACGTAACACTTGTATTTTTACTGCTTTATGCTGGAGTACACACATTCAGTCTTGGTGCTGTTCCTCTGTCTGCTTGATCTGCTGGGTGGCTTAACATTTAAAGCAGCATATTGGAGATTGTCTGCGTCCTGGTAACCCTGGTAACAAAACGGGAAGAATCAGTGCTGGCAAAAATGTAAAAACATCCACAAAAGAAGTGATTGTTGTGCATTCAAATGGTAATTAAAGGTCCCGTGTTTTACACTTTTCAGGTGTTTTATTTTGAAGTGTTGATTTGTTGTGACATCACAAAGTTACAGAAGTCCTGACGGCTTGTTTTCAGGCTCAGCTGCTAAATACAGGCTGTGTACATTTCTCTGTGGACTGAGCACTTTGATGCTTTCATGTTGTTAATATTGAGCCTAGACCTGCTTTATAATCAAAGAACACATGGAAATGTTATACATTTCCATGTGTTTATACAATATTGGACCTTTAATAGATTATTAAAATAAATGTCACCTCTGGATTTGCTGTGGTGGGAGCTGACGATCTTGCTTGAGACTCTGGTTGTAGACACAAAAGGCTCTTTTATTCAAGAGTTATGTTTAGTCAATACAAGTTATCATATGCAACCATTACAACTTACCTGTACAGTGGCAGTTTTTTCTCTTGATTATCTTGTACACTGAGGAAGCCAGTAAAACAACCAGGATGGTATTGAATATCAGCGCTCCGCTCAGGAAATACACACGAGAGTTTGGAGAGTTCGCCTCATCTGCAGAGCGGCAGACATTAGAAACAGAGCTTTCACCTTTTATCTCTGTGTTCATTGCCATGAATATCTATTCATCAAAATCATACAAGCTCCGCTATGATGTTACTCACATTTAAAGTCCAGCGTGGTCCCATTTCCATACAATATTTGTCCACATGAAGCAACAGCACAGTAGTAGGTCCCAGCATGAGAGCGATTCAGATTCTCCAGTAACAAGTTGTAGACACAGGTTTGTGTCTCAGATTTCTTCTCACACTGATCGTTCCTGTCTCCATGAGTGTAAATGAGTCCTGGATGAGATTCTTCAGAGTCTTTGAACCAGTAAACACTGTGTTCTCCATCACAGGTCCCAGTGTGTACTGTACAGTTGAGAGTCACAGAGCCTCCTGGCTGGATGGTCTCAGATCCGGACTGACTGAGCGAAGCTTTGACGTTCAAACCTGAACCCTGCACATTAACAATGGTGCCTTCCGCAAACCTTAATACAAACGTGTAGCTATCTGCACAGTAGTAAGTAGCCGAGTCTGAAATATGCAAATCTTTGATCATTAAGTGATTATTACCATTTTCAGGGTCCAGTGTGAAGCGTGGATTGTTCTTGAATTCATGATAAAACGTGATTCTTCTATCATACACATAAAAGGTAGAGATGAGCTTTGGCTTCTGTCCCAGACTTTGCTTATACCAGTAGAGCCATGCTGAATCATCTGCTTGATAGAAACATTCTAAAGTCACATTGCCTCCGACATTAGCTGATATAAAACTTTTCTCTTGGTGCACAGATGAGGACGATTCCCAACCAGTCTCCTGAGCTTAAGTGTAATGAGAATAAAAGCAAATGCACAATCAATTAAATCTGAGAGATGCATTATATCTACATGAAAATATGAGAAGATATTGAATGGAGAGGTATGAATTCAAATATAAACTGTAGCCACAAAAACACAACTCACCCATTTTCCCCATGAACAGAAATGTCAGACAGAAGACAAGCCTTAGAGATGCCATCATGTTCGAATACTTGTCTTGAATGAAAAGTATCTCGATACTTTCCCCACTCTTCAGAGACAAGGCTGTGTTTGATTGGCCAACCTGAGGTGACACTGCACTTAACACTATGTCCTACTTAGGAAACATGATCACATGTTCACAGCCACCTATAGTGTCAAGTTTGAGAAGATTCACATGCTGAGAGAAATCTAAAAGAAAGTACATAAAGCCTCCTCATCTTGACATTATATTTTAAATTGTGGGGAAATAAATTACAGGTATATACAGTATATTTACCAGTAATGACATACAGTTGAGTCTAATTATGCTCAACATTTGGCAAGGGACTGACTGTCTTTATGTACATACAGGTTTGTTAATTTAACGAATACCTGTGTAATAAACATGAGAGAAGTCATACAGATACACACTATGGGCGCAATCAGGTAATTCAGATCAGTCTCATACGATTAATCTCATAAATGACTGATCACAAATCTTAGAATTATACTTGACAGTGAAAATGATCAAAATGAATGGAAAGTGTTGTGAAACTAGTAGTGTTTCAGTTTAGTTAGAATAATATTAAAACCACATTAATAACACCAATGAAATAATAATGTAATGAAGGCAATTGGAGTACTTAGTTGGCAGAGGATGGTTTTGGATAATATTGCAGCTCTCTTCCTAAGAACACAGACACAGGGTGATTCTTTGAAATGTGCGTTTATTGTTTGAGCACATCCTGTTTCTCTGATGTATGCACTCCTTGATTACGTCATGAAAACCATATTTGTGAATGAACATAGAACAAAAATACATGCATTCAGATGTGTAATTTATCTATATAAGTTAGAGTTGGCCGTTTCCACTTCTCCCACCATTAGTGTTTCAGTTGCCAACGTCAAGTCCTCTCAGTGAGTTAGCTGAACGGCACTCAACCCTCTTAAGGCATCGTTGGCTGGATTGTTTTTGGAACTAACATGTCACTATTGTTCAGGGTTTGTGCGAGATCTTATCAAGCGACAACCTCCAGGGCTGAAAAATGAAGCCAACCTGGAAGTGCAAAAGCCTGCAGTTCCTATAATGACCACTTGAGGCAGGCTTTTACAGTGTTTACAGCCTGGTGCAGTCTTGGTCTCTATAGGTAATATCCTGTATGCGGGGTGAATTTTTTCAGATAACTCACTTGTTTCAGTTTTATTGAAAGTTATGCATAATTGAGGGTGTGGCCACTTTGAGTGACAGGTGAGTGCCGTCAAATTTGACTAGCCGCTAGCTATCTGCTCTGTCACCTCAACTAATTCGAATCACTAAACGTGACTTCTAGTATTATTTATATGTTAGCACTAATTAGCAGGTATCTATGCCTGCGCTCACAATACTTAGCTTGTTAGCTGAGCTCGTTAACTAGCTAATTAGCCAGTAAGTGAATCAGCCTTGTGTTTCCCTTCGAGCAAAATGGCCAGCTGTGCTAATGACGCTAACAGGAGCATACGCTTGTCACAGTTATTTAACCGACATGCATGGAAGTCTCAACTCTGAGTCCACTCTGAGCTTCAAAACTGCTATTCAGAAACCTATGGGTGACACAAATATACAGTCTATGGATCTTATGTGCTGGATCCAGTTGGCTACAAACGTGTAAAACCTCTTGCAGGTTTTCAACCTTGAGCTCTCTTTTGACGACATCACTGTTGCAGACTGAAGCAACAGTTGACGGTTAAGTCTTGGAATAGTCGTTAGTTTGGTAGGGGATACTCTTGCCTTTCCCATGACGAGTGGGCAACTGTCCTGTTCCACCAATTGCTCAGAGGAATGAACATGCACCATAACCATTGAAACTTGCATGTGAAAAGTTGTGAAGGTCGTATAACCTCGCCAATGCTTGATGGAAAGGATAGCTTCTAGGATCTCTAGTGAATAATACAGGCTTTGCTGCTGGAAGACAATTGGCATTTCTACCTTTATTTATTTATTGCATAGAATTATAGAATCAACTATGAATCATTTATCAATTATGCATCATGAACATCGAGCATTTATGCAACAGCACTTAAAAAAGGGTGAATTTTGAGTAATCAGTGGCTTACTGTAAATGCTGAGTCCATTGGTGGAGTTCAGGCAGGAAATTGATTAGTTGAGGATTATAGTAACAGAGCACATGTGGTGTCAAGTGAAGCACCTATATATCTTTTTTTTCAAGCTGTGGTACAATGAGCCAAGACTGTGATCTTATTTTGAAGAGACAACTTTTTACAGTAAATTAAAGGTCAAACTTACTGGCAAAATTTCAAACTATCTTAACTATCTACTTCTTTATTGATTTGATATTGAGCACTAGAAATAAAATTTAATTCATCTTTGTTGTAGTCAACCCAAATTCAAAACCTAAAACCTCCAAAACTGCATTGCTAAATACTAGTAGTGCTAGTGTCAGTGGAGAAATATGGTTATAGTAGGAGGAGCAGGGCCACATTTTGTCATCCATACTCATTGGTGTAAAGCTTTCTTAGTGAGCAAGGTATGTTGATTCCATCCTGCGTAACAGCATGAGGATTAAAGTAACAGCGTGCTGAGACCTGATCAACTATCACTGTGCACACAACCAACATCCTGTTTGTTCTCAACAGCAGAAAGACAAATCAGATTTAGGGGTCGTGGGACAGAACAGAAAGGTTAAACAATGGTTTTTCGTATGACATCATCAAAGTGTGTCTGACCTGGTAAAGGCATATATGAAGGCGCTATAGGTCAGACTTGGATGACCATGGAACCAAGGCTTATTTGAACGAAATGTAAAACATTTTTCATTTCTTTCCTCCCAGAGTTTCCTGAGGCCCTCTTGTGTAGACCAGTTCAAATTGGATGATTGATTTATTATGTGTTGCTCACTGTTATCTTGCACACACACAGACATTCTCAAACTCATATATTAACCATCAAAGTGTTTCACAATTGCATTACAAGTTTTATTTTAATATTAATCACACAAAATGTACGTTATACAGATAAAAACCAGTGAGGATGAAAGACAAGAATCCACGACAGCTCCATTGTTATCATCAAAATACAGCATCACTGAATCCAACAAAGTAACTCTGCTTGAAACCATAGACCAGTGGTCGGCAACTGGCAGCCCACAGGCCAGATTATTTTCACAGTCAGATTTTCTTTTTTAACATCGGACTGACACATTTCGCTATAATGTGCAAATAGAGAATCTTAATGACAGATACAAAAAGAAAAATCAAGAATCGGGGCTGCACTGTCGGTCGGACAGCGCCAAGTGCTAAATTAGATCTCCGTCATGGCAACAGAATCACTTCCATTTAAGCGATTTTGTCTAGAAAATAAAAGCGCAACAAAGCTTGTTTTTTGCAACAATACTTTAGAGTGAGCTATTGAGAGCTTTTATTCTGAAAAGTTCTAACTTGATTCTGTTGTTTACTTGACTTCTGAAATAGCAGAGACTGTGTGTTGTGGGCCACGGCGTCACACATGTTAACAGTAACAAAGCAAATTCCAGTTGCATTTTCATCAATCAGTTTCTTAAATTATCCTTTGATTGTGTGCTGGATTTGAAAAAAGAAAAAAAACAAAAAAACCAAACCTACCTGCCAATCCCTGCCATAGATGCACAGTTAGATATTTTATTTAGATAAAATCTACATATAAATACATGATACATCTCTAAAGAGAAACTGAGAAATCCCATATTACTACCAAAGACAGTAAAAATGGAAACAGATCTACTGCCTAACACTGGAGTACACACATTCAGTCTTGGCGTTGTCCCTCTGTCTGCTTGATCTGTTGGGCACTCTCACATTTAAAGCAGCGTAATGGAGGTTGTCTGCAACTCGGAAACCCTGGTAACAAAAAACACATCAGTATAGTTCCTGATTAAAACAAAAAATGTCCACAAGACAATTATACATTTGTTTGTGCTATTAAAAGATACTGAATGTAAATTTAACGGTTAAGCTAAAGAGATGATATTTACCTCTGCATTTGTTGTGGAGAGAGTTGATGATCTTGCATGGGACTCTGGTTGTGAAACACAGAAAAATATATTTCATTCAAAAGTTAAATTCAATGAATATATAATGCCTGACATAAAAAGTACATGTTACCTGAACCGCTGTTTCTCTTGATCATCTTGTAAATTAAGAAAGCAAGTAAAACACTGAGGATGGTGGTGAATGCCACAGCTCCACTCAAGAAATACACCAAGAGAAAAGAGTCTTGCTTATCTGCAATAGGAGGAATTGTAGAATTGTAGTTTTTTGTCTTTGTCTTACATGTAAAGAAGCAGCTCAGTATTTATCAAATGAGAAAGAACCTGGAAGAGGGTTACTCACGCTCAAAGTTCAGCTTCATCCTGTCTCCAAACAGTATGTGTCCACATGAGGCAACAGCACAGTAGTAGGTCCCAGCATGAGAACGGTTCAGGCTCTTCATGGGCAAGTTGTAGACACAGGTTTGTGTTTGTGTCTCAGGTTTCCTCTCACACTGATCATTCCTGTCTCCATGAGTGTAAATGAGTCCTGGATGAGATTCTTCAGAGTCTTTGAACCAGTAAACACTGTGTTCTCCATCACAGGTCCCAGTGTGAACTGTACAGCTGAGAGTCACAGAGCCTCCTGGCTGGATGGTCTCAGACCCTGACTGATTCACAAAAGCCTGGATCTTCAATCCTGAACCTTGTACACTGACAGGAGTGCCCTCCGCGAATTCAAACATAAATGAATAACCTCTTGCACAGTAGTAAGAAGCTGAGTCTGAAAGTTGCACATTTGAAATTTTTAGATGATTCACACCAATTTTAGATTCCAGTGTGAAGCGTGGATTGTCCTTGAATTCATCATGGAAAGTTCCGCTTTTATCAAACTTATAGGTAATGGAGATAAGTTGTAGCTTCTGTCCCAGTGTTTGCTTATACCAGTAATACTTTGCAGCATCACTGTCATAGAAACATTGCAAAGTCAAGTTGTCACCAACATTAACTGATATTAATCTGCTGTCTTGATAAACAGTTGCGCAGAGAATGAAATTATTCATCTGAGCTGAAGTGAGACAGGAGAAAAAACAAATACACAATTAATTTTGTGTGACAGAAATTATAACGTAATCAGAAAAGAAAAGAAAAAACACAAAAACTCCTATTAAGACTGACTAAACCTTAAAACAAACTATTTTTTAAAACAAAACTCACCCATTTTCCCCAAGAACAAACATGTCAGGTAGAAAAAAAACTCTGGAGATGTCCTCATGTTGAAATTTCCGTGCTGAATGACAGGCACCCCGAATCATTCTCCACTCTTAAAACATAAGACCAGTGTTGATTGGCCAACAAGGCAGCACTGATGATCACATGTCAACTGCCACCAATGATTTTTTGCTCCTGAAGAAGAAACACATGGTGAGAGAACATCTGAAGCACTTTTGTATGTACAGCAAAGAAGAGCAGAGTTCAGTGATAAATTAGCAACAACCTGCCAAGTACACCAACACTGCATGGCAACATTTTGCAAGACAGCATCACCTCATGATTGTATGCAGTTTATCGACATTTGAGAATATATAATAACCCAAAATAAATGTTTGTAGTATTTGCTGTTATGGGGAGAGAAATATGTCCTGCAAAGTAATTGAATGTGGTTCAGATTTTACCACAACATAATACGTTGTCAATAGGGAAGTGTATATCTACTGTTTACCTCAAAACTATATAAAGGAAAAGATAAAATAGTTGTTATAAACCATTGTGCAGTGTTCTGGTGTTCCTGAGAGCTCAACACATTACAATTGAAGAAAAATCCCAAATCCAAATAGGACACTGTTCTCCTGTAAAAAAAAAAAAAAAAGAAGAAAACAGCCGATAGGTCGTTTGTGCAGCAGGTGACATCTAGTGGTCGTAGTAATTATGACATGAGCAAAAAGGGCAAAGTGCGGTGACGAATAGAAAGAGAGACACAGTCTGCGTTATGAGGAGGTTGTGGTGGATAGATGGGTCAACAAAAAAGGAGAGCGGTGCTCACTTCCCATCAGTTAATGTTGTTTCTATTATCCATGACCGTACTGTAACCATGACAACAAAGCTCGTCTACTGTTGAGGAAGTACTTATTTTAACCCAAATTAATCACAATCTTTTCTTAAACCTAACCAAATAGTTTTAGTGCCTAAATCTCACCAAACCATGACAGAGGTAGGTACGTCACTCTCGGCACAGTTCCCATGTTTATCATCATACCTACGACAACCGGGGTCTGGTACGCCCGCCACCGGAGGGGCGCTATTTCAGGAGACACTCCTGTCGGTTCTGTCAAAGGGTTGAAGAGAACGCCCTGTATGGTTGTTCAGGTTGGAGGAGCTGGTGTCCAAACAGACAAAACACTAGCAAGCTAAGAAAACATCTTCACCAATTTGATAACACGATTGTGTGACATTTAGAAAAAAAGTAGTGCAAAGTGATGAAACACAACCTGTAAAAGTGTGTGGAAGTGAAATTATCAGTTGACCACTCGTTCAGTCGTGCGTTTCTTTCTTGTGATATTGATTGTTTTATAAGAAGTGAATGTGCGTTTGTTACATGCTGAAGAAGCCGACGGTTCTCCTCATCCTGTTCATATTTAAAGAAGTCAGGAGCTGCACGTGGTTTGAGTCTTTGTGTAACTTTAGGTTTCTTGTGTCTTAGGACACATATATATAGATATATGTAGTAGACATGTATATGTATGTCCCCTGGTTGTTTGCTATTGGTTGCAATCATAAGCTGATATGTATCTCGACCAATCTCTGTTCTATAAAAAGGTTCATCTGACTCTGTATTGTTGGGTAAAGGAACGATTATACTTACCAACTATGTGTAAGCCTTGTCTCTTTATTGATCAATAACAATCTTTTATAATAATCTTTTGGTCGATCAGTGTTTGTGTTTTCTAATTTTTCAGCATTTTCATGAATGCTGTCAAATTGGTGACGATGTTTTCTGAGTTTGCTTGTGTTTTGTGTATTTACATCTGCTTCTGAACCTGCAGTGTGCTGAACTCTTAGGGCCACCATAGATAAGCCTTCAAACCAACTAGACTTCCTGGTTTGCATTTCATTTACTCTATTCACACTGAAATTAGCGCCCAAGTTTAAATGTGGCTAAACCCACAAAAGAAAAGTGACTGACTCCTGTCACACTGTCAGACGAGTTTGCCTTTCGCCTTGCCTCTGTTCGGACAGAGAGAGGACACAGACACACAACTGCAGGGAGCAAAGTCATCATAGGCGTTTACAGAACCGAACGCGCACGCACACACACACACACACACACACACACACACACACACACACACAGGGTTGGGAATATCTTCACAGTTTCAAACAGTGAGCTGCTATCTACCATGCAGACTAGTAAAATGAAAGCGTCGCATCCATGGTCGCGTCATGCGTAGCCGTGGGGTTCATGGTTTAACCACAACGTGCTGGGCAGGTTTCATGTGTGATTACAGTGTTTTCGTGCTCTGACAGCATGTTTACATCACTGCTCATCAGAGGTGGAGCCGATAAATACCCATGACTACTGCAGAGCCATTTGACCTGGAAAGACCACTGTGCCCGTTCACACTGACAACAAATGGCAGATGTTGGCGGGGGGGGGGTTTTTGTCAAGTGTAATGTGTAGTGCAGTTCATTGCCTCACTGCTACCATAAACAACACACTCCCACAATCACTTTTCAGTCTGAATCCTCGCTAAGAGGTGTCAACACTTCTGCACCGTGCTGAAGACCACAAGGACTGCAAAATCGCTGCAAGGTTAACAGGACGCAGTGAAAAGACTGCTCAATTCCTGTGTTCACAGTCGACAAAGAGCCGTAATGATGTAACTAAATTAACAATGCTATTTTATAGAAAGGCTTCCTAAGGTTGCAAAGCCTGACCCAACCCCCTCCTGTGTTTACTCGGTCAAAGCGATGACTGCAGAACCTCATAACCTCTTGTATGCTGCATTATTCCTAGTTACCTGGATGAGGAGATTGATGTCAGCTTAATCTCCGTATGTTGAGTCCAGTAATATTATAGCCCTGCTCTTGCCAGTCAAGAAAGAATCACAATGTGGAGGCTAACTGCTTGTTCAACCAGAATGTCTTGAGTTCTATGTCTGATGGTGTTATTATACGTAAAATAAAAAGTGTATATTAGCAGCTTTGGATTTCCTTAATGACTTCAGTCGTATAGTAAGCATCATATTAACACAACAGTAATGCTGTAAGCCTCCCTGCTCTTCTATCTTTCTGACATGACACGTACTGTATGATAGTGACAGTTTATATACGACACACCCACACATCTTCTCAGTGTAACATGGTTGGATCACGATGATTTAAGCATTAATAACATAAAATACACACACACACACACACACACACATACACAACACTGCATTTGGTTGAAAACAATATATGATAAAACAACAAATAACAAAATAGTTCAAAATGTGTATACTGTTTCATTTAAAAAAAAAAAAAAACACTGTGCAGCAACACTTGAAACCACACTGATACGAAAACAAAAGCAGAGGTGTATGAACATGCACAAGCGACCCTTAGCACAGCATGCAGCGCTCTCACCTATTGACTGCAGACCACAAGGGAAGCTATAAAAAGATTGTTCCAGCACTGAGTCTGAAACAACATCTATGACAAACATAAATATAACAGATGTTCCCAAGTACAGAAGACTGGATGTTGTGGTTCTTTAGCCATCAAATCTCAAAAGTAACATGTGGCATGTTTTTATTTATCATATGGTACGGTGATGGTGCGTTTAGTGCAGCACTGAGAGACTGATGCAGTGGGTAAAGTGACAGTGCAAATATGTCACCTTTGCCACAACATATCAAAACACACCTCATACAGCTCAAGCTTGTTCAAGTACTGCAACCCAAGACTTTTACATTTATCATCACTATCATCATGATTCCTGTTTAACTTCTCCTATTTAAAGAAAGTGTACATTATGTCTCAAAACACAGGTTAAGAAATTTACCACTTCCATAGAAACAAAGTACAGATCGGACAGTTCTACTGCCTCACACCAGAGTACACACATTGAGTCAAGGTGTCATCCCTCTGCCTTGATGTTCGGTTGACTCTTGGTTCCCTTAAAGCAGCATAATGGAGGTTGTCTGAATCTTCATAACCCTGGTATGAAATATATAAGTGAATCCGATTATGGAACATGAATTAAATAAGTCCACAAAACACATAGTTGGTGCGGTACATACAGTATTTGTAGGGTAGTTTAACCAGTTAATGTAAATAGATAATATTCACCTCTGCGTTAGCTGTGGACGGAGCTGAAAGTCTTGCTCGAGACTCTGATGTGAAACAAAGAAAAGAAATATTTTCATGTAAAAATCATATTCAGTTAATACTTGATGTAACATACAAGCAGTACCAGTTACCTGTGCAGTGGCAGCGGTCTCTCTTGATTATCTTGTACAGTGAGAAAGCCAGTGAAACACTCAGGATGGTGGTGAATGCCAAAGCTCCACTCAGGAAATACACAAGAGAGTGGAGAGAGTTCACCTCGTCTGCAGAGAGTGAGGCATCTGAAGACGGACAGTTTAGCTTTATCTTTGTGCTTATGTAAAATGTGATTAATTCTCTGCCTAAATTTTATGGCACTTACTCTCAAAGTCCAGCTTCGTCCTGTTTCCAAACAGTATGTGTCCACATGAGGCAACAGCACAGTAGTAGGTCCCAGCATGAGAAAGATTCAGGCTCTGCATCGGCAAGTTGTAGACACAGGTTTGTGTTTGTGTCTCAGGTTTCCTCTCACACTGATCATTCCTGTCTCCATGAGTGTAAATGAGTCCTGGATGAGATTCTTCAGAGTCTTTGAACCAGTAAACACTGTGTTCTCCATCACAGGTCCCAGTGTGTACTGTACAGCTGAGAGTCACAGAGCCTCCTGGCTGGATGGTCTCAGATCCGGACTGATGGACCGAAGCCTGGATGTTCAAACCTGAACCCTGTACACTGACAGTAGCGCCCTCCACAAATTCAAACTTGAATGAAGAGCAACTTATGCAGTAGTAAGTTGCTGAGTCTGAAATGTGTAAATTCGAGATCGTCAAGTGGTTCTTACCATTATCAGTCTCCAATGAAAACCGTGAAATGTTTTTGAATTCATCAGTAAAAGTGTAACTTTTTTGATGTTTATAGAAGGAAGAGATGCGCTTTGGTCTCTGTCCCAGAGTTTGTTTATACCAGTAAAGCATCTTCACAGCATTACCTTCATAGACACATCGCAAAGTCACATTGTCTCCAACTTTAGCTGGTATAAAACGCAAAATGTCCTTATGCACTGATGAGGACAATTTGAGATTAGTTACAAAGGCTGTGGAGAATAGAGATCAAGAAAGTATAGAGTTAATGCCACGATAAATCTGTCATAATGATTACAAGAAAAAAGAAAAAATATAACAACAATAGATATACATATTTAAGGATGTAAATTTATCCACAAAACTCCAACTTACCTATTCTCCACAAGAACAGAATAGTCACACATGAAGCAAACTTCAGAGATGTCATCGTGATCAGAATGTCTTGATGAATGTAGAGAACCTCCATCCGTTGTCTTCTCTCAGACAGAGGACTGTGTGTGATTGGCTAACAAGTAGTGACACTGAATATCCTATTTTGGAAACAGTGAGCACATGTTCAGCGCCCTGAGCTCAACACTAGTGCAAACCTTGGACCTCAAACTACAATGTGTGAAGATTTCTTCTTTGATCATAAAAAAGGCCTTTAATCTGTGTAAAATGAAAGGGTATATAAGAGTTTAGATAATTTTAGGGAACTGGAGGCATCTAAAACGACTTGGACAAGGGTAAGGTCAATCTTTTCGTCAAGGTCAACTGAAAAAAAAATGGCTGAAAATAAAAGCTCCAGTTCTTTTCCGAATTGGAAATGAACCAGGATTTGTTCATGTCTGCCCATCCCTCATCCCTCACCCCTTCCACTTTTACTTTATAATGCAGTTTTTCAATGTAAAATACAGCCTGCAGCCAACGAATCACCAGGTCCACAATGAGAAATATTTCACATACTCTATTCAACAAAGTCAATTGTTTGCTTTTCAAACGTACCACCTATTTTAGGTAAGAGGGTAGTCTTCCTGTGTTGAAGCTTTGCTATGAGCCAAGTTTCCACCAGTGGAAAACTGTTCACTAGCTCATACCACATTCACTGCATAGTGAAAGATGCAACCAGCTTCTCATATCTAGTTAAAAGAGGGTGTTACACCAGCATATCTTTAATTTTCAATTACTATTTGAAAGGACATGTTCATTTGCAATTACCATACAATGACCCCACCCATCAGTTTTGGCTTCTTTGTCAAAGTGTTTCACATTAATGTGGTGTTTATGGGACAAGTAGCGGTCTAAGGACAATGAGGATGTCATTGCTTTTGCAGGTATTTGGTCGTAAAAGTATTGGGCAAATTAAAAATTGGACCTGATGATGGTGCTAAAGGAAAAGTTAAAGGACCTCCAAAGGGAAAAATTCATCCTGATGGGAAGCTGAATGTAGAGACGAAGTTTCTTGGAAATCAATCTGTTAATTGTCAAGCCGTTTGGCTCAAAACCACAAATGTCAAGCTCATGCCGGTGGGAGACGAAGAGTCAGGAGACTGCCAACGTCATCGGCATTCATCATATGGAAACCATGAATGTCTGTAATAGATTTTGTGCCAATGCAGCCAATATTTGTTGAGACATTTCAGGGGATAAGTGAAAACTCTGACATGCTTTGCATTCCAGTGTCAAGGTTTCAATTATATCTAGTCCTTGGTATGTGACTATGAGAAAGTGTCTCAGTCATGTGATGCAGTTGACAGACTAATAGGTGTGGCTCTGAGGGAGTTTCCCTGCAGGTTCTCTACACTAGTTATTGATGGTGTTTTAGTGGTTACTCTTTTTCCTACTGTACAAACTCTTTCTGACACTACAACACCATGGAGATGAGTTGCTTGGATGTTTGCTTGTCGATTGTACTACAGTACAGACATATTGATTAGAAACATGGCATATTTGATGCCACAAATCACATCGAGAACTTGTTTGATTAGTTAATTGCAGGTCAAGATTTTTTATTCTGTATATGGAGGTGAAATCTGACAGAAGGTCTACGGCCATGTTGCTGCATCACAGTCTGCTGTGAAAAGCTGGATGTCTCATAATGTTTTGCTCCTAAATTCAAACTTCACTTTTGATACTTCCCTCTCCTTTGATCAGCACATTCACGATATCACCAAGACTGCCTTTTTTCACCTATGTAACATAGTTAGGATATGGTCTTTTCTGTCTAAGACCGATGGTGAAATCTTAATTCATGCCTTTCTTTCGTCACGACTTGATTATTGTAACGTTTTGTTTTCTGTCCTGCCACATGGTCGTATTAAAAGTCTTCAAATGGTCCCGAATGCTGCAGCTAGGACTGTAACCAAATCCAGAAAATTTGACCATATTACACCGATTTTAGCCTCCCTTCGTTGGCTTCCTATCCACATCAGATCAGACTTTAAGGTGCTTTTGATGGCATATAAGGTTCTAAATGGAGTTGCTCCTTCATACCTGTCTGAAACCTTATACTCCATCTCGTGTTCTCCGTTCCCAGAATTTAGGGCTCCTGTCTGTTCCCAGAGTTAAAAAGATGTCTGCAGGTTGCAGAGCCTTTTCTTATTGGGCCCCTCTGCTCTGGAACAACCTCCCTGCTGATATCAGACCTTTCTGACTCCATTCAGACTTTCAAATCTAAAATTAAAACATATTTTTATTCTAATTATCTATTCATTTTTCATCATGGCCCTCCTCTGATACACCTACAATCATCAGCCACTTCTTTTGACCTGCCATCAAGGAAATGATCCCTCACTGGCTTCCCACCTGCAAACATTTCCTGGTTTGGTCGCTGCAACACACAAATAACTTGGAATGAGTGCTTCTGGAGGCTGAATCCAGATGTCTGCAGCAGTATAAGTGCAGCAGTGCAGTGGCCGCTGGATTGCAGTGTGATCTGAAGGGGGCTGGTGAGTAATTGCTTGAGTACAGGAAGAGGAAGTGCTAATGTCTTTAATGACTTCAGTCGTATAGTAAGCATCATATTAACACAACAGTAATGATGTAAGCTTCCCTTCTCACTTTCTGACATTACACGTACTGTATGATATTTATAGTTTATATACTATACACCCACACATTTTCTCAGTGTAACATGATTAAATCACAGTGATTTAATCATTAATAACACAAAAAAGCACAACACTGCATTTGGTTGAAAATTATATATGATAAAACAACTAATAACAAAATAGTTAAAAATTTATTTCCATTATAGTCTTTTGCTCTCGTACCACATCATTGAATCTGGCATTTTGAATGTACTGGTTTCATTAAAAACAAAACAAAACAAAAAAAATATACAACATTAATATATATCTACTATGTATATATATATATCTACTGAACAACTTTAAAATAGAAAGTTGCTTTGGCAATAAAAAAAAATGAACACTGATACAAAAACAAAAGCAGAGGTGTATGAATATGCACATTAGCGACCCTTAGCACAGCATGCAGCGATCTCATCTATTGACTGCAGACCACAAGGGAAGCTATAAAAGAAGAGATTGTTCCAGCACTGAGTCTGAAACAACATCTATGACAAACATAAATATAACAGATGTTCCCAAGTACAGAGGACTAGATTTTGTAGTTCTTTAGCCATCAAATCTCAAAAGTAACATGTGGCATGTTTTTATTTATCATATGGTACGGTGATGGTGCGTTTAGTGCAGCACTGAGAGACTGATGCAGTGGGTAAAGTGACAGTGCAAATATGTCACCTTTGCCACAACATATCAAAACACACCTCATACAGCTCAAGCTTGTTCAAGTACTGCAACCCAAGACTTTTACATTTATCATCACTATCATCACGATTCCTGTTTAACTTCTCCTATTTAAAGAAAGTCTACATTACGTCTCAAAACACAGGTTAAGAAAATTACCACTTCCATAGAAACAAAGTACAGATCGGACAGTTCTACTGCCTCACACCAGAGTACACACATTGAGTCAAGGTGTCATCCCTCTGCCTTGATGTTCGGTTGACTCTTGGTTCCCTTAAAGCAGCATAATGGAGGTTGTCTGAATCTTCATAACCCTGGTATGAAATAAATAAGTGAATCCAATTATGGAACATGAATTAAATAAGTCCACAAAACACATAGTTGGTGTGGTACATACAGTATTTGTAGGGTAATTCAACCAATTAATGTAAATAGATAATATTCACCTCTGCGTTAGCTGTGGACGGAGCTGAAAGTCTTGCTCGAGACTCTGATGTGAAACAAAGAAAAGAAATATTTTCATGTAAAAATCATATTCAGTTAATACTTGATGTAACATACAAGCAGTACCAGTTACCTGTGCAGTGGCAGCGGTCTCTCTTGATTATCTTGTACAGTGAGAAAGCCAGTGAAACACTCAGGATGGTGGTGAATGCCAAAGCTCCACTCAGGAAATACACCAAGACAAGAATGTCTCCCTCATCTGTAAGAGGAGAAATTGTAGAACTTTTTTGTTTTTGTCTTGAGTTCACCTCGTCTGCAGAGAGTGAGGCATCTGAAGACGGACAGTTTAGCTTTATCTTTGTGCTTATGTAAAATGTGATTAATTCTCTGCCTGAATTTTATAGCACTTACCCTCAAAGTCCAGCTTGGTCCTGTCTCCAAACAGTATGTGTCCACATGAGGCAACAGCACAGTAGTAGGTCCCAGCATGAGAACGGTTCAGACTCTTCATCTGCAAGTTGTAGACACAGGTTTGTGTTTGTGTCTCAGGTTTCCTCTCACACTGATCATTCCTGTCTCCATGAGTGTAAATGAGTCCTGGATGAGAATCTTCAAAGTCTTTGAACCAGTAAACACTGTGTTCTCCATCACAGGTCCCAGTGTGTACTGTACAGGTGAGAGTCACAGAGCCTCCTGGCTGGATGGTCTCAGATCCGGACTGATGGACCCAAGCCTGGATGTTCAAACCTGAACCCTGTACACTGACAGTAACACCCTCCACAAATTCAAACTTGAATGCAGAGCAACCTATGCAGTAGTAAGTTGCTGAGTCTGAAATGTGTAAATCCAAGATCGTCAAGTGGTTCTTACCATTATCAGTCTCCAATGAAAACCGTTGATAGTTTTTGAATTTGTGAGTAAAAGTACCAATTTTGTCATATATATAGTAGGAGGAGATGCGCTTTGGTCTCTGTCCCAGAGTTTGTTTATACCAGTAGAACATCATCGCAGCTTTACCTTCATAGAAACATTGCAAAGTCACATTGTCTCCAACTTTAGCTGGTATAAAACCACTGTCTTGACGCACCGATGAGGACATCTTGAGATTAGTTACAAAGGCTGTGGAGAATAGATATCAAGAAAGTATAGAGTTAATGCCATGAAAAAATCCGTCATAATGACTGATAAAAAAAAAAATAACAACAATAGATATACATATTTAAGGATGTAAATTTATCCACAAAAGCCCAAACTTACCTATTCTCCACAAGAACAGACCAGTCAGACATGAAGCGAACTTCAGAGATGTCATCATGAACAAAATATCTTGATGAATGTACAGAACCTCCATACATTCTCTGCTCTCAGACAGAGGACTGTATGTGATTGGCTAACAAGTAGTGACACTGAATGTCCTATTTTGGAAACAGTGAGCACATGTTCAGCGCCCCCTCCATTGCAAATTTTCACTCTTGAGCAGAAGTCTGCGATAGTAGACAGTAGTTGTAGATATTAGTGCGATCTACTAGTACAACCCCAAACCACTATGTGCGAGTGAAGATTTCTTTTCTCTACCACAAAATGATTCTGTCATGATAAAAACAAGCCTTTAATCTGTGTCAAATGAAAAGGTTAATAAGAGATGTTAGGGAACTGGAGGCATATAAAACAACTTGGCCAACGGTAAGGTCAAGCTTTCTGTCAAGGTCGAGGTCAAGGTCAACTGAAAATAAAAATGGCTGAAAGTAAACCACTTAGTTCTTTTCTGTATTGGAAATGATGGTTCACAAGGAGAAATATTTCACATACTCTATTCAACAATGTCAGTTGTTTGCTTTTCAAACGTACCGCCCATTTTAGGAAAGAGGGTAGTCTTCCTGTGTTGAAGCTTTGCTATGAGCCAAGTTTCCACCAGTGGAAAACTGTTCACTAGCTCATACCACATTCGCTGCATAGTGAAAGATGCAACCAGCTTCTCATATCTATTTAAAAGACAATGTTATACCTGTTGATATCTTTACTTTTTAATTCTTATTCAAAAAGCATGAGCATTTGCAATTACTATACAATGACCCCAACCATCAGTTTGAGATTCTTTGTTGAGATGTTTCTTTGTTGGTTTTGTTGAGGTTTTACTTTTTGCAGGTATTTGGTCATGAAAGCATTGGCCAAACTACAAGTTTGACCTTATGATGGTGGCAAAGAAAAAGTTAAAGGACCCCCAAACGTAAAAAGTCATCCAGATGGGAAGCTGAATTATGGGGACAAAGTTTCATGGCAATCCATTCAATATTCTTGAGACCTTTCACTCAAAAACCATTAGTCATATGATGAGACGAAGAGTCAGGACATCATCATCAAGTCATCAACATTCATCATATGGAAGCAATGAATGTCTGTACCAGATTTTGTGTCAGTTCATCCAATATTTGTTGAGACATTTCAGGGGTAAGTGAAAAATCTGACCTGCTACAGGCACTATGTGGGGAAAGGTTAGGGGATCACCATAGTCACCAGGGTTCATCCTCTGGGCACTTTTGATATCGGTACCAAATTTCATGGAAATCTGTGAAACAATTGTGAAGACGTGTAACATAAACCTAAAAGGTCGACCTGGTGGTCTAAATGAAAGATCCTCAAAATCAGTAGGATTTTATCCTCTGGGACCATGAATCTCCACTAGTTTTGAGATATTTGAGTCTGGGCAAGTGTCAAACAGACCGGAGAGACATTCATCCTACGCCATGCTTTGGCAACAACGTGCTGAAATATATATTCTATAGAGGATATTTCATGGCTAGCTATATTATTTTCCTGGTATGTTGTCATTTCAGCTTCTTCTCCTTAGCACACATACCATGGCCATTGTTTGTTGATACAACAGTATCAGCATGTTGCAGGGTGTTAGAGGTGTCAGGAGAGAAGGTGCTCTCAGAAGAGATGAGTCTTCAGTTGATATAATCTACTAAAATAGTATGGCATTCAGAGTAAACTGTGTGGCAGGTGTGCATGAAAACATTACAAGAATATGTCTGATATAAACCATAAAGCTAAAGAAAACAGAGGGTATGCTAGAAATAAGTACATGACCAGATTAACGGAAAGTTATACTGACTGCCAACCACACAGAGACTAAAAATAAGATTATGAGTTTGTGGTGTAGGACCAGCACAATGTGTATCAATAGAAAACTGCAAAGACATGTAGGAAGGTATTTATCAAGTGCATTAATTCAACAGATTGTTTCCTCAATGCCTGCCATGTTACAGCAGGTGTTGGTGGGTTTTGATGCTGCTCATTTGCAATGAGAAGGCGGCCCTGCTCTGTCTGAGCATGCAGCCGTGGCTGGAAAGACACATCTGTATCAAAATTCTTTAAGTTCAATGGTTGGCTTCTTTATTGTTTCTCTCTTACATTTCAGGATGTGAGCATGGTAGCTTTTGCTGACAGCTTTAGTTGCTTTTGATATAGTCATTCTCAAATAACAAGATACAGTAGGGCCACATTTCACTTTCGTATAAAGCGAGCTTCTTCCTATCTCT